CATATTAGATGTACGAATAAGTTATCCACTATGGTTCCAAGGTACTGGAAATACAGCTTATATTCAGAACATTCTTCTGATCTCCCGTTTAAGTGATGGAAACAAATAACGAATACTGTTGAGATAGCATAGGGTTTTGAATCGTTTTGAAATAGGTACAAAACTACGAGAGCTTGTAGGATGATCATAAATGTTTACAAATTACAATGGTGCCATGAATCAATATGCTTAGAACCTGGCTAGAACTTACAAGTACTACTTCACCGAGATGCTATAAAATGATACCAATACTCAGAGACGCCATATCCAGCAATCCGAAGAAAAATAAAATTTAAAAAAATCTTTAAAAAACCATATTTGAACAGTTTTCAAGTACCCATTTAAAATAAAAGTTCCAGTAGATAAATAACCTATAAAACAATGACCTAGTAGCGTCATCCTCCATGATTCACGTGTTTATCGTGACGCAACATGGAGCACCTTTCTTATTTTCATCGTTGCACAATTTGAAATGGTTGTCTCGAGATGTCTTCACCGTCGAGTGAAGCTTGTCCTCCTCGTACGATGGAGGATGTCGGTGTCTGCTCGCCTCGAACATCGCTCGAGGCGTCTTAGAAAGTCGGAAGATTGAATAACCCGTGAAAAGGAAAGTGCCGGATTGTTACGACGCGATCCAGCGGCCAATGGCGGGCACATACACACACACACAGATCTGGCTGTTCCGTTTTCGGAATGGCCGCTTACATAAGAGAACCGACGAACTTTCACGCTCTATGCTTCGGCCTCCGGCTCGATGAAGCATCATCGACTTCCTAATGGCCGGATATAGAGGATACGTTGGACAAACAAACTCGAGACCAACGTAACTCGAGTCTGCTCGGTGCATTTCGTCGATTGGCGAAAGGTGTAAGGAATGAATATTAAACATTTTTTACTTTCTACGGAAAGCGGAACCTTCGGCTCGAAAGTCAGCTCATGATAGCTGCTTGAAATGTTTCAACTTGGGAATATATGGAATTTGATTACGAAAATATTTCTGCACTTGATTGTACATAGAGAAAGAATTGTATTCTTTTTAACCATCGGAAGGTGGATAGATGTTCGTGATGATCGAGTAGACGGCAGTACCTGAGATCGAGGTATAGGTCCAGCTATCTGTGTTCTTAGGTGTGTTTTGGAACGAATTTCTTCAAATTGGTATTCCTATAAAATGCTAATACGAACGACAGTATGCTTCAGTTAATTTCTGTAAGCTGGAAGTGGTGCATGGTGTGTCTGAAATCCTAGTCCCTCATCCCGAAAATCAAAACCCATCTTAGAGGTCGTTATCTTGGAACTGTGGACAACACCCAAAAGGTTGCGACAGACTACCTGAAAGCAGTTCCAGTTGGAAACTTGTAGTACTGTTTCCAGGAGTGTGAACAATGTCTCCAACGATGTTTGGCTTGTTAAGGGAACTATTGTGAAGGGAATAATGGCGATTTTTAATTGAGTTGATAAATATTTTTAGAGAACCAGTCTAATTATTTGTTGGACGTACCTCGTACATTTCACATTCACAGCACAGAAAATAGTAACCCAAACTCGTTCAAATGGCAATTCATTTCTCACTAACCTAATAATATAATACTGGTAGCTGAAATGCTTCCCTTTTGTAGACCCATGTATACTAAATAATCTGTTTATCGGCGATTTTAATGGATACCCAGTGCGCACACCCAACGTTTCGATCATCAATATTCGAGTAGTCCGCGAAATGGAACAAGCGTACAACGAGCAATATTCGGTTTCTCGATATCTCGCTTAAACAGATGCGGAAGCCAACGTCGGATTCGATATCGAGGATCGACGGGTACGCACGACCACGAAAATTGGATCGCGCGCATAAGCCAGGGGGGCCCCGGATTTCGCTTATTTTCGCCTCGCCCGTCGACGCATCTCCGTTCACCCCGTCGATTTCCAGCGGGACCAACGTTCGAAAAACGACCGTGGTTCAGAACGCTGTTCTAGGAATTCAAAAGCTTAATTTGAACTATTCGAGTAAGACTTCAAATGAATCTCAATATATTTATCAAGCGAAATGTTCTCCTTCCTTAAAAATTTCGAGTAACATCGATCACATTTTTTTTCCAACCGAAAATATTTTGCACGTAGGTGTGGATCAGAAAGTTTCATCGATTCTAGTAACTTTGGTTTTATAGCTTTTTATCTATATAAGAAGAAACTTGTGTACATATATGTCGTTTTTCAATACATTATTGTGCCAAACTTTGAACATATCTCGTCTATTTAGATAGATAGAATTTTAAAATATTTTCGTTCAAACGCAAAAATGGTGCATTTAGATGTTATAGCAATTCAATTAATTAGAGTCAGTGTAACTATTACATCAGTTATTTACATCTAGAATCCCATTTCTGGGTTCTTTCTGCTTTGATAAAGGAAAGGAAGTCGCAAGCTCGTGTCACGTTTGAAAAACGTTAAACTCGATGTGCAAACGGACGAATTTTATCTACAAAATAGTGAATTTCATCTGTAAGAGGGATGAATTTGATTTGAAAAAGTTCAATGTGGAGTGCAAAAACTGTATCAATAATACCGCTTCGAAGGCAACAAAACCGATGGTCGAACGCGTTATGCTAGAATTCGAACTCCTAAAGCATCGTTCTGTACCATTGTGCGTCGCGCGTCGTCGATACCAGTACGCTGCCCGAAAATTGGATGACTCCGTGCGCGAACAGATCGCGCGTATCTCGCAATTTTCGTTTACGACAGGAACGTAACGAGCGGCCGGTACCGTCCGCCCGCCGCCATATTATTTGGATAATGCGGCGCGAGAGCTGCGCCGAGCGCCGCCGCGGCCATTTTCCCTCCCCGATTAAAAGCAAAGTTATGTTAAACCGGGCCAAATATTGACTCGACAACGCGAACAACCGCCCGCGGATCGAATTGGTTTGTTTTGTGCCCCCCCCCCCTCAGCGACCACCCGCGAAATCCCGACGAGCATTCTCTCTGCCCCGACGATCGGGAGCGATCCACCAAGCGGAATCGTTTCGTTCAGCCGCGTCGGCTCGCAACGTATATCGCCTCCCCCTGGCCCGTTATTGATTGAAACAAAACCGAGCCGGGATTTCATGGATTGCGAATCGATTTTGCTCGGTGAGATATAGACGTCCAGGAGTTTTAAAATGTTTCGTCTCGCTTTCTGCGCACGATACGTCGATACCGATAAAAGCTTGTGAAATAGAGATCGTTTGGGTCTGGTAAGATCGGCGATTTGCTGCTGGTGAGCCTGAATAGAATTTTGATCAATGCGATGTTTAATGGTTTTGTGTGATAATAATTATTGTAAGTGCAATAAGAGGTTGCTGGTTGAAGCTTAGATTTGAGGGGGCATTGCAGGCTAGAATGACGTTTTTTTAGGCTACTTTGTGGGATTGTTCTTGTGGAGAAAACGTGAGAGTGTCTGCGTTTTGGACACATATTTATTTATATTTTAAATATATTCACCGTTTTTGTTAAGTGAAACTAATGAAAATTGATTGAATTAGGAATCATGTAGTCAGGTATCTTTACAGAAGTGTCTTACTGCCTGGTACGATTCTTAGCTGGTCTGAGCACACGTATATTTTGATTATTTTTACTGACTCGTCTCGTTGTACGGAAAATAGTTTTGCTACATGTTGTCAAACTTTGTAAGGCTCCATAACGACAAAAAAAAAAACAAAATGACGATCTAACGTTTTGACTCGAGATTCAAAATTTTCTCAATCATAAATGGCGGTGGAACGCGTTGAATCGAGATAAACGGTGGATTTCTCGTTCTCCAGTGACGTAAGTTTTTTTTTTTACTGCACGCGTTTCTTGACCTTTCGCGATCCGAGCTAGCCTCGATTACGCCTGACTGGTTTCGCCCGTGTTACTGCCAATGACAATCGAAAGTGGAAAGTGAAAGTGTCCAGCCATGGCTCGAGCGATGAAAGTGTATACGGGGTCTAGGAGCACCTCGTGCTACGCCGTAAAAGTTCGACGTCGGCACGCGAAACTGCTCGATCATCGGTGGGTTTCGTGTGTTCGCGTCGATCATTCCGTTGAATACATCGTAAACATTTAACGGCGTAATTGCTTCGCCTTCGTTATGGTCTATATTCTCTTTCTTTCGTCTGGTCGAAAGCGAAAGGTTCTACGATTTGTCCTACTTGAAATTTTAAACTGTTTCGGTTGTGACGCAAAAAGTTAGCTAGTTGTAAGTTTTTGTAATATGGCGAAACAGGTACGCTTAATTGGTAAAATTCACAAATACGTACATTTACGATAAGAATCGAGTATTTGGTCAGCGCACTAGAAATGTCGTTCTTTGAAGCGTCAGTTTTGTAACGAAAAGAGAGGAAAATTGGTAAATTTTCGTTAGAGGAACAGAACGAAATTGTAAAAAGTTCTTAATCTAAGGCAATGAAAAATCACAGTGAATGAATTGAAATTTTCATCAGACCTGCAGTTTCTCAAAAAAATTTTGAAAAAAAGTATATATTTGCCTTTAGGTACAAACTAATTGCTCCGTAAGCAGAACTGATTAACAAAGAACGATCATTCGAACAACGACAGTAAACAAAAAAACAGGCGTATGTTTATAGATTACAATTGTGAGTAAAAAAATTTAATTATCTCCAAAAAAATTGTAACTTCGTCACTTAACAGATGCTTCGAAAAATGCAAATCGCAAGGTTCTGTCAATGTGTACAATATTAACCTGTTAACCAAGGAATTGTCTCATTATAAGCGATCCCTCTTCGTGTAATTTTGCCAATCGTCGAGTGTCTTCGATGAGTTAACCCACCTCTGACGACCACGATGACTTAACCAAGATTGTAGAAGCGTTTTCTAATCTTGAGTTAATCGACTCGTCACTGAACGCGGTGTTTCACTCGCGCAATTACAATTTACTCGTCTTCCTCGGTTAACAGATGAGCACGTGGAACAAGTACGTCTCTATCATTTACCTGATCAGGTTCAGTAACGACCTCTCCATCTCGCTCAGCTGATCCTGATGAACGGACGAGGTCAGTTCGCATATCAGCTTCGGCAGACAGGCAGTCTTGATCGTGGTCATCATTCGTGCGCGTCGCGACACCGCTGCAACGTAATTGGGAAAGGTACATAAATCTTTGAACCGGAGTCGTGACTCATTGCTAATGCATCGATCGACGCCTCCACGATTTTTCAACCGAATGACACACTCTCCCTTCTGATCATTTCCAGACGAAAGTCAGGGTCAACCGAGAATCGGTCTATTCGGATTCGCGTAAAATTCGAAACTCTGAACAAGAAAGCTCGAACTTAGATCCTAACTTAGACCCAAAACTCGATCGAAAACAACTGGTGCCGCAGGTATTCAAAACAGTTCCTGTATTTCCTACAACTTTTACCTAATTCTCTAACGAAAGTTGAATTCCCCGTCGATAAAAAAGAACCACAATACCGATTTAAACGCAACAACCATTACCTTTGCATGAACCTATTACACCTGCATGAACATCGAAACTCTGAACAGAAAGATTCGATCTTAACGACGGATGTCTCTCTTATTTCAAATAGTTCCCTTATGTTCTAAAACCATCAGTCATTTTTCCATCGAAAGTTCCATTCTCGGCCAATAAAAGACAACGAAACCTCAGCGAAATTGCTAAAAAAAAAAATTGATTTTCCTGTGGTACGAAACAAAATAAAACAACCATACCAATCATAATTAGAGATGCATTTAGATATGCTATTACACCTGCATGACCACCAGTCTATTGATCGTCAGAATCGTTTCCTTACAATGAACGATGGCTCTGTCATCAACGAACGTAAAAATATATTCGTGTAAAAGACCAGAAAACTGGTCAGACCCGTTGCGCGAGCCCGAAGGACAGAAACGACGAGTGTACGGGTCGTCTGCAGAAAACGAGTCGAACTTCGCAGGTATGTTCGTCGCGTGAAGGAAAATCCTTTAATGTATGACTGTCCCCGGAGACACTAAATTATGCATTTCACAGAGAAACTCCATGGCGAAGATATACCTGGGAACGGGGGGATAATCGAAACGGACGCACGCGTGAAATCCTGCGTCGCGAACGGACGAGGACGCCAGGAGGAGAAGCGATCGCGGCTGGTGGACACCGTAGCCGGTCCGCGGCTTTCGAAATGCATTTTCTAGCTCGAGGAACTGGTTTCCCGAGGTCATGGCGGCGATCGAGGCTGATCGGCTCGAAACGATCCCGATGGGGACGATCGAAATGATTCCTGGCTGGAAAAACTCTTTTGTTTCCTCGAATTACTTCCTTTAATAATTTAAGCGCCATTTGTATTCGAATCAGTACAATTTTTTCTGGCCCAATGGGGACCTTCTGTATTAGTTTCGATACTGTGTAAAAAAGAATACAGTGGTGAACACAGTGGTGAAATGGAACATAATTTTTTTGTTTACATGATGACGCTTAACGTGTTCAGCATTAAGTGGGTGTCTTTGTCGGTTAATTGAGGTAAGAAAAATTTTCATTTCTAACGATAGGAGATACTACACAGATGTTGATTTTTATATCCAACTCGTATGAAAAAGATTTTTGGAATTGCTATGTATAAAGATATATGTATATGTATAATGAAGACTTACTCACAGGTAGACTGTAGATTTTTACAAGCATTCAATATGGCCGCTGTTAAGTACGACATGTTTGTACACTCCTGATTGATATTATGAAGAATATTGTTTAACAGATAATTTACTCTTTCCTTTGCCTAGTAATATTATTGAGGCGGTAAGTTTTTCTCTAAATCCTGTCTTTATGAATTCATAAATATGCAAAATGTATATTTTCTTACGACAGTCAAAAGTGCCTCTAAACTAAATTGGTCTTGGAATAGTCTAATGAATACATTTTTATTCCACTGTATACAATAATCGTCACTAAATAAACCTAACTGTTTTTTCCTAGAGTTATAAACATAAATACTTGTTTCATAGTTTAATAGTCCTCGGAATATTTTAATGGCTGATACATCGGATTGATTACAATAGTTCAATGTAGCGAATGAATAATCATACACAAGCTAAGGCTTGGAAATAATTTGTATGTTTATCGAGATTGGAAACTTAAAGTTTTTTCGATGTGATTTTCCTAACATTCGATTCGTCATTCCTTAAGCCGTAAGATTTGAAATTTGTAATCATTCATAATTTTCACTATTAGATTTAATCGATTCAAATGATATAATAAGAGTTCTCGACAGGACCCAAGAACTACATCAGGTGCATGCGTGGAAATTTTTCAACGGTTGATCGCCACCGTTGCGACAGCTGAACTTGCTTCGCGAAACGATTACGTAACGCTCGCGATAAAAATATGCTAACTGGATGGTATTTACGGGCGTGAATGCATAAATCCATGGACAAACAGCCTACGATCGTCGCTCGATTCATAAATGAGGCGTGATAACGGTAACGATCGGATTACTGGGTTCGTAGTATTGTTTACTAGAATTTACATACATCGCTCAAGGTGGAATAATAGTCTGTAGAACATTTACAATGTCTTTCTGAAGGAACGAGAACCTGATTTTCTGATCAACGAATAACGACACGCGAAGCGACATCGATTAATCGTGCAAACAAGAACAAAAACTCAGGAATGTCCACGGCAGACGTGGTTGTTTACCAACGTGTCAATTATACAGGGGAAAATAACTTTCGGTGTTTATGCATAAGGTTGCATACCTTCAGAGAATTAAAGAAATAGTCGTGAACCTAACGAAGATTCTCAAATGAACACCAATAGCTAAAAGTATGGGTCTGGTTAAATTATTATCTGACTTTATGGAAGTGATGTCAGTAGGCAACAAACGTCAGATCTTCCGAAATTTTTTCTCAGCCCCGCTGAAATGTAACCTATTTCATAATTGTATTATGACGACATGTTATTAGCGTTCTTTAGTAATAGTGTGACCATTCATGCATCAATAACTACTCTGCTGTTAGACCAATTTATTGTTACGAATTCGTATAAAGTAACTTCTACAATATGAACATTGCAATTTCTAGCGTAATTGCCATTACTGACGATGATTCTCTCATGAATATTAGAATTCGCTTAATCAAGGCATAGATTGACCTAGTTTGAATTGATCAACATACTGTATACATAAACATTCAAAGACCTCCTGATACACGGTCAAAGTTTTAGTATAACAAAATTATCTTAAAAAGTTCACTAGTATTCAACACCACATTCTCATGTAATATACCTCATTTAACGAATCAAGTCAGTAACTATTATACAAAGGGAGGTGATGGCCATTTAGGTGGGACAGCAAATGAATGTTTTAGTTATTTTTACCAACTCCTCTCGTTGAACGGACAGTAAATGCATCAATCTAATATACACTATCGACATTAAGCAATTTCCTGTTCAATCTCATATCCTGATTTTCTTACACGAAACATTTGTGGCCCAACACTTTTCACATATCGTGCTGTATACTACAAACTGCTGTCACCACTACTCCACGTGAATTTCCACAAAATCATATCTCTAACAACAGTACCCATCTCGAAAAACAGAATCCTTCATTCCCATTAATCACATCTGACCCCATTCTTTCGACCTAGTGTGTAGCATGCAATAATCGAGACTGCTGCTCCCTCGAGGCGAATTAAAAACTTTTACACTTTGAATGTGCATCACGAATGATTCATTCACAATCCATTCATCGATAGTAAACTGGCGCTACTTTGTTCACTGATCACTTTAGATGTTCACTTCGGATGAAATGAAGACGAAAACAATCTTTACACCTGGACGAATCATCCGTGTTACACATCCAAAGTCCTAAAAATTCGCCTATAGGGTCAGTCAGAAGCGTCGAGTCGATCGTACACACGCGTTCAACATTTCGTCTCGTGACACCGCGCGATTCACTACTTCCCGCCACGATTTCGCACAATATGAATCGCACGATTCACGTTAGCCTCGTGGGCAACATTTTTAGTCTCCTTACCGGTTTCTTCCCCGTCCTTTCTCGGAGTCGGTCGATCGAGAGCCGGTTCCCTCGGCGGTCCTTCGGGGCCTTTGATCGGCTCGGTGACGTTTTGTTCCGGATGTCTGCCGAATATCGTCGAGACCAGGTAACTGTAGTCGCCGGCGAACACCAGAAACATCCCTAGGAATATCACCAGACGGACCGTGCTCGTGTCCATGACCATGCTGTGGGGTGTGGGTGGAAGGAGAGTGGCGTCCTTGGTCGATCTACGTCCGGTGAAACGTCGCTCGCTCGCACGCTCGGCCTCGTCTGCTTCGATCGGCGATCCTCGATTCACTGGCGGGCCTCCACCTGGCCGATTCAGCGACCGGATCGGGACGGGGCCGGGACTGGATCTGGCTTTTGAACTTTAATCCTCCGACGACGACGAGACCGCGGCCGGCTTTACCACACCTACACGCATCGATATAGAGCCGTAATCAAACGCCGTGTCACGGATCCGTTCGAATTCGATCGGACAGAGACGGGGCCGTCGATCGATCGACTCTCGTTTCAATTATTAAACGGTGGACACTGGACACGTTTCAGCAACCGATGGAGGCCGGCTGACGACTAGTATAAAATTTCGTAATCGTCTGGAAATTGCATTTGTCCTTTCTCTGCCTGTAAAACATTCAACATGGTCCGGCGTTTACAGGGTGGACCAGCTAAACGGGATAATCTAAATGTCTGCCTTATTTATTGTTGTATAAAAAAGCTTTTCAGGGCTAAGATATTCAAGGGGCACGTGTAACGATGAAAAAAATGTTTCTCTTTTTTTTTTACGAGATTTCAAGATAATCGGTACTTTTTTTTGCTAATGGAAGTCTATATATATGTACTTGTTTTCCGTATCCGTATACAGTAAATCGTGGATGAGTGTTCGAAGGCTCCTCGGCACTGAATATTAAGTATTTTATAAACTAATTGCCATATGCGACTGAAACAAATATCATTGGCTTCAGAATTCTATACTCTATCAATGTGGTGAATCTCATTACAAAGTCAGCGTTACACCTGGCCATCTCTCCTTGTGAAAATAAATTCGACGGCCTTAATAGCCATACCGTTCTGATCTTCTAATCCCGAGATATTTGCGCCTGAAGATAATTCAAATTTCCTAAAACGCCCAGTGACAGCTAATGTTTACGTTTGGATAGGAATATATGTATGTGTGTGTATCTGTGATGTGCCACGTGAATCTTTAGGAAATTTTAATTATCTTCAGACGTAAATATCTCCAGATTAAATGATCGGAACGGTATGGTTATTAAGACCGTTAGAATATAGGGTTGCATTTAAAAAAAAATCCAAGGCCATGACATCTCGTAAAAGAAAGTTACCTTAAGAAAAAATTTTTTTCACCGTTTCACGTGCCCCTTGAAATAGAACAACTTTGTCCTTAGTTTTATCATACAATAATAAATAAGGCAAATAATTAGGTGATACCATTTAGCCGGTGTACCCTGCATATCGATGTTTCTTTCGTTAGGTTGGAATAACATACATATAATAAAAGTGTGAAAGGGAGGAATGAGCGACGTTTTCTTGCGATATTGTTTTATCATTGTCAGACTGAGGGTTTTATACTTACGTTTATAATGCGTGACCGTACGTAAAATGCAATAAATTATAAAGTTCTACAGTGTTTAATACATTTTTCATTTGAAATTATTAATGGGAAGAATTGTCCTCTCGTATATTGCTTTGCAAAAATGGGAATCTGTGTAAGCATCATTAGATCGGACGTACGCGCAACAATCAGGAAACTTCAGGTCATCTTAGGCTTAACCTTGTGCCAAAACTTTCTCACCCTGTTTGACCAATTTGGGGTCTTTGCGGATTTCACCTTTGTCTCAATAGCCCATGTAAAATCCAAGGCAGTCCAGGTGACGAACTCCAAATTGGAAGATCCTGAGCGAACACATCAATCAGATGCATAACGTTCACCCTCTCCGGAAGCTTAAAAGCTTTCACGGTTCTGGAAATGGCGACCTGCAAGACCGGGTCATCGGTTCGTGGCTCTCCTATGAGTTGAAACTGTCGAACATGGTCTCTCGTTAACCCTAAGACTGGACCGTGCTCGTGCCTATCGCGAAGTACAGTCGAATCTCTCGAGCAAGAGGGAGGCCCCGAGGGAAAGGATAGTAGGTTGTGACCCCTTGCAACTCCTCGGTACATGCTACAATCTCGTACGTCGCGGCAAGAGAAATTCCCGAATTATCCGACCGCATACGCAAGAACGTTACGTGGAACGAAACAATACGTACTCGTGAGAAGCGTGTCCGAAGGCGCGGCACTCTGTGACCGCGCACCGAAGAGACGCCACCGCTCTCTGACGGGAAGATGTTACTGCCGAACTCTCGCTCTCAGTTCACTTCCACTTTCTTCGGTCTGCTCCGAATATAGCGTTTCCTTGTACTCTCGGCCGACTTGGTACGATACCGCAACTGTGGAAAATTTTTCGACCGCCAAGGTGCTCCCGACGATCAATTATCAATTCACCGCAAAAACGTGGAGAGATACACTCTTCGATAATCCCTCTATTAAACTTCTCACTATATGTACATTCGTGAAATACATCCGAGAGTCACTATCACTGTCACAAACGGTAATCCAAGGGACTCGAAGCTTACTTTTATGAATCGGGATTGGAGTACAATTGCACAAAGTCAATGACAATTACAGACGGTGTTTAAACGGTGGAGCGGGATCGATCGTACAAAGATCCGCGTAGAAACGTCGCGTTTCTGGCTGTGACGTTGTTCTTGTAACGCGTTCCTCGACGGAGGAATACACCGACGCTGCCGCGGCCTGCCGACGTCGTGAACTGACTGTGAATGATTCGAAACCACGGTTAGCGGCGGACCTAACGAGTTGTCAGTGAAAGTTGGACACTCGCCCGCAACCCGCAGCGATTCGATCGGCCGATCTCGTTGCCGCGCCTTGTTCGCTCGGTGCCCCTCGGTGCTGCTCCGACGAGAAGTGGTGCAACCTCGTCACGAAAAATCCTTCGTAAATACGACGTATTCAGGGACGTTTCTGCGGGTTGTTTCAGCTGGTCGACAAAGGAAATCGACGATTCGAACAGGAGAAACGTGCTTCCATGTACGAGTGCCTTGAGAATCAACGGGAGACGTTGTAATGAGAAGTAGTTCAAGTTTTCCAGCGAGAAAACTAGTTCGAACGTAAACAATTTATAGTGTTTTTATTGCTTTCGTATATAGCTAAATACGAATGTTTGTGTCCTGTGAGAGTAATCTGCGGACTGCGTCTTTATGCAAGTAATATGAATGGAATACTTAGAATGTTGAGTGAAAATTGTGTAAATTTAACGAATGGAAATTCATTTTATAAAATATCAGCAATCTAGTAATTACGAAATCATGGGCGTAGCCAGGTTATCAGTCAGGGGGAGGCGCAAAAATCGTAACACGTCGATTGCCACAGTGAATAATGCTGTACGTAGTCAGACACACTTTATTTTGTTTTTATAGTCGTAAAGCGTTAGGCTGTATGGTGAAAACCAAGTGGGGCTTAAATTATAACTTATTTGACCACCATATTGACGGGTATCGTTGAAGGAATTGTTATGGCTTCTCGCTAGTTACGTTGGGTCGTAACATTTATTTATACATTCCCTACTGCTTCCAGCTATCATATTCTGGTGGAATTTATGAATTTAATGAATTAGAAATAAGTAGTAAGTGACCAGAAGGTAATTCGTTATTCATGTGAAAAATAAAAGATGTTTCTTTTGTACTGACGTAACGAGGAATATCTCGGCAGAAATAATGTCTACTGTATTTTCCTTCATTCTCGCGGATTATCATAAAGAGCTCTTTTCTTTCGAATTAAGTGGTGCATGAACGTAACGTTTATTACGCTCTTGATATTTCTTTCTTTGTACCGTACAAAAGATTTCTCTTTACTTGTGAATGGACAAGCTGCATTGGGAGTTTTTATAGAAAGTTTTTTCCACGAGAAATAATGACATTCTGTGAAATAAATCGCTTTTTAACAATAATTTTATTTGTACCTATATCTCTATAATTAACACACTAATTTCATCCAACTTTTAGTTTCACCTTCTACATCGTACCAAACTGATCGTTTAATGTGCGAAGTAACTTTTATCTAACACGTTAACTGCGATGATCGTTACCGGTAATCGGCGTCATTAAATCGTGTAACAAGCATTTAATTTCTAGATGATAACATTACAATTTTCTAATCATAATTAATGGCAAAATAGTCACCTTGTAAATTGTAAGAAGAAGCAGAAGTACGTTCGTTTAATATCAGAATCATTCAGAAATTTCAACTCCAATGTTAATTTTATCAAGGCGACGTAAGTATGTGCATTCACATTTATTGCAAGAGACGTGTGAAAAATTCGCATGAAGTACAGTAGGATCTTTATTTCTTTAACGTACTTCGGCTCTCCATTTTCCTTTTCAAGACACGCACCGTCGATATTACCACCATACAATCTCCGCGTTGTGAAACAAAGGGAATCTTTTCATACCGACCAATTTTCACAAGGTCAGCGATATGACCGTGTGTCTGGAACAGATCGGCGGCGCGCGACCGTCGAAATCCATATGCATACCTACTGGTTCACTTTTTCCTACCCGTTCGGATTCAGTTAAACAAAAACAATTACTGGGTCACCTTGAAAAGCCTGCATTTCGTGACGTACGTTGACGGTATGATTATCATTTTCGTAACACGGTGTTAGAATGTCATTGCAAATGCTCTGTTTGAAGGCAAAATTTCATATGCAAGATCGCATAGAAACAATGTGATAAATAAGAAATTAAAAGAAAGGGCATTATGTCCCCTGTTATGTGTAATGTTTCAGCGCCCCCTACCCGTCCCACCAATTAGTATGTCACATGTCTGCTTATAACTGTTTTAAAAATGTTTAATTTAAATTGGAATCGTGAAAAATCGACATTGAAGAAAGGGTATGAAAAATGAAGAAACAGAGTTTTAATGAACATGGTTCTGTGTCGTAACTTGAAGATAATTCAGCCTGTACAATTAGAACGTGAACATCTACAAGGACTGCTTTGAAAGACGAATGGAATAACAGTCCTCAAGGGAAGAGACACGATAAGTAAGAATAATGGAAGCGAAATGAAAAGCATACAGAATATCTAATTTATAATCATCTGTGCCATTTTCATCTCCATACTTATCGGTTCTTCCATATCTTGTATCTCTTCTTAGCGTACGTTGTTTAACATACGAAATTGATTGCAGACATTAATTTTACTACCCTCTGTGGATCGATTTGACCGGAAATAATATTTGCATAAAAACTCGCAAAGAAATTGTTCTACTTTGTACAAAATGAAATTAAGGAAAAAACTATATTACTTAAAATTTTTAGCGGGTACTTTTTATGTATTAAAGATAAAGAAAACTAGGATTAACAAGAAAAATATATATTCATATTAAATCTAATGCTATTTTTGCAATCTTTCGGCCAATTTAAGGTATTTAAGGCTTTATTAAATGACAATTCGGATATCTATTTGCATGACCCATTATTTTGAGCAGTATATTTTGATCTCGAACAACGTAAAAAGAAATACATACGATTTTCAAAGCAAAAATTTATTAAAGTACAATACGTACATATTAACTCACGGTGGGCACACTGGTGCTCCTTCATATTAAGATAAAAATTTCAATAGTTGAGTATTTACGGGTAAGCGAGCATACAATGGATCTGGCTCCACTACGTTAAATATGGCTGTCCCCTACAATATCAGGTAATAAGGACCCGAGGGTCATTTACGCGTTAGTCTTCGAAGGAGTGACATCGAAATTGTGCGTCGGTGTGAATTTGTATCAATGTGCTTATAACGGTTGCTGGCTTGGTGTTTTTCCAAAATTTAGGAGAAGTGTGAGACAGTTCAACAGCTTCATTTTGCATAAAAGTGAGTAATTTTAACATAAATAGTTATTTATCTATATTTTGTGCATTATAAACAATTATTTGCTTACAAACTTGTTTTATCTGCGATAACCAGAGATCAGGACTATGCATACAATGCACACATGTAGTAAATTATATTAGATGTAGGTTTTATATGCCCCGGTTCAAAGAATATTCCGAATCAAAATATTTTGTACACATAAATCATTGATTTTCCCTCTTATCTACTTTATTTATCTTTATTATTTTATCACTTTAAAAATACCAAATCTTCAGAGTGTGAAAAAAACGAATTATCTCGTCTTCCCCGATTAACAGGTAAACGAGACGTTTCTAAGGAAGTGTTTGCACATTCGTAACCAATAAATTTCAATGGTTTCTTCCAACAGAAAATATTCACCGATCAGTGATTTATTTCGATTTATAGAACGATTGCTCAATTAAACGGAAACGTAATAAGCCACATATCTTACATCTCGTTTAATCGACAGAGTCGAACATAGCGGACAAGTGTTACGCGTATCGTTACATTACGAGAAAAAAGAAAAAAAAAAGAGTAGGCGCGATAACGAGGCGCGTGTCGGAACTTCTAGGAAAGTGCATTTGCATGAACGTGCCGCTTCCAACGTCATTAATTAACGCGTCTGATCTGCGGCCCTCATTGTTTTTATTTCTTTCTATTCTTCATAGGCTCCCCGATGTATTCGTGTTTAATCGGTATTTTCCTGATAAGCGCCGTGACATTCGTGATGCTCGTAGTTATCCTTCGATTCCGATGAATCTCGTGATATTTACCGTCACGTGATTATTCCAACACTGTCAACTAGAATTACGGATACAGTAATTTCACGTTGAACGTGACAATTAATATTCGTTTGACCAGTTGAACTGTTTACTAACAAGTTACATCGACATTATTGCACGAATTGATGTAAACAAAACTGCGCAAGGACCCACCCCTTAAGAATTTCTCCAGCCAGTAATAGCAAATCGTTGTCGAAATTAAAAATTCATCACAAGGATACCAAATCGACGCCAATCACGAAACAGTTTACTTGCATAAATTTGTATTTCCAAGATAGTTGTTTTCCTTCTTTGTAACATACGTGTCAATCAATGCAGTCTACAACATAGACGTATTCTTTTTTAACAAATATTTCACAGAAAGCTAAGTCGGTATATGAGGTAGCGAACTACATACTAAGGCAAGTCGTATTAACATTCATAATACATACCTTGTATGTTTAATAAATTTTTGATTATAAATTCATCGTCTTTGCAAAAGCTACTTGTTTTCTGTTACATTATAAACCTGCATACGTTCATATTATCCACTTTTTTACGATTGTCTCTGTAATAATTTTTCGCCCAACATATCTTTTAACAAATGAAACAAACAGCCGTTGAGTTTCTATTTTCCCGTATCCATTTATTTCAAACATGTTAATTTATGACTTCGTTTGCAAAAGCGGAATTCACTTTTTCCGACATCGATGAAAGTACCGTGATACGGACGGCTATAAACGAACCATTCATGTGATATTAATTGAGCGAATTAACATAATTTCAACCGGAAAATATTAAATCAGGACAGGAAAGCGCACCGTTGCTGATTATTGGGAAATTTATTGTTAGGCCTTGTAGATAACAATCTGACGTGGATTTACTGCTATCTGGAGAAAACTGTTGCGAGTTCCAGTAAGGATTTCGTGAAGGACGAGACGTTCCTCAGCGTATCCGAGCGCAATCCGCGGACGTTGAAACGCATGTTCGCGTTACTCGTTTTCCCGCGTCTTTTCCTCTTTTTGTTATCGTCTCGACGATCGCCGCCGCTCCTGGCGAACTTCATACCGCCTGAAATTGAAAATCGAAATGATTTCCGTGAGGAGAATCGAAGATTCGTTGAGAATGTTGGCGAGCTAAAGAGACATGAGTTGCGATTACAGTAAATTCTTGATAAATGCTCGCAATTAACTGTAGGTTAAATACTCGTCCATTAACTCATTAACAGTCGAATAAAATTACAATTTGTAATAAGAAAAATGTATACTTTAATATATAATAATAATTTAATTATATATTTTTTTTTTATATAATATAATATAGTTTTTTTATTACAATGAAACTAAACTACTTCTATGCATGATAAAAAATTCGTATAATAGTACAGACATGAATGATAATCGACCCTTTGGTTTCCCACTAGCATAACATGTCAGAAAAGTTGAAAGTCGATGGTAGTTGAGATTAACGTATATGATCCTTAGGTCATTGAATATTTTCTTAAATTTAATTTAGCACGTCCGCTACCAACAATTGCCTTGGGAATCGTATTCACATGCTGCAATATTTCCAATGTTTTATTCAGTACGATGTATCTCCTTCATGAAATGTTAAAGAAAAAGTGTGTAATAAGTAGTTTCATTTATTCTCTGAATGTTACGTCACGTGTTACGATTTCAAATAACAATATACATGAAATTCGTTTGTCTTTTTTCATGTGACATAGAAAATTGTAATTGTCACAAAATGACGTGTAGTAGTGGACATGTTAATTTACTGAATGGTGTTAACCTTTGAACGAATATGAATGAAATCATGTTGTAAATAGATGAATGATTATAAACTAGTAATTACAAAAAACAAGTGTAGAAACGATTAATAGATATATTGAATGAAATGGTTCAATCTTTTCTCACGAGGAAATAAATATCCAGAATAAACGATATGCTTGTGCATCAATTTCACAATTGACTGATTTTTGTGTGAATGAAATATAGTAACGTTACCCTAAAGCATCTGCAATATATGCATGCGTGTACTCTCACGTAATTTAAAGACTTTCTATCATCTCAGATTGAAATGCTCCAGGATACTTCAAACCGGTGAAAGTGCAACTAGAAATGCCGGGAGCGTGCGATGAAGTGACGGATAAGTGTTTTGGATAATGAATGTTATATAATTATTCAATTAGAAATCATCTGCGATCGAACTCGGACTTTCGAATAATAATTGTTTTCCTTTTGCATTCTCGTACGTCGCGTCATGTAATGAATGTGCGTTACATATAATTAAACGGTGGATCTACATGAAAATTCACAATTTTGATATGCTAATTTGAAATTGTGGAGTTTTTCTGAAATAACTTACGTCGATGGAACGCGGATTCCGAGGAGCATTCCACGGATGCGAAGTTACTTGAGTCCGATTTTTGGGGGTAAGGTTGCAGATGCAGCCGAGGGAGGCGGACGACGTTGCCCAGGAGGTCGACTGACAAAGATCCCATACTTTCGAGGCGGTGGTTGAGGCGGTGGGAAGGACGGTTCCAAAATCTTAAACCACGAAACTCGGTATTTTTAACTATTAATACACCTTCATCCCGTAATAGTACCTTCAGCTTGATAATCGAATAACTTTCCACCAAAAATTCAGTTACAGACGAATAGAAGTGATCCGTTTTATCTTTCTCAAACGAATGCGAGTGAAGAGAATGCATTTCAATTCATAATATTTCTAAACTTGCCTTCTCCCACTTTCACGTAAAATTCTCCCGGTTCAATAAATGTTTACACTATCAAGATTCACTGAAATAATTCTGGATTTGCTACACGTTGCTCATACGACCTTACAACCGTAGTGTATCTTCCTTCATATGCCACTAGTCCATTACCAACAGATTTTAGTACTTTCTCTATAAGATATTACGTGCTGGTCGATACTATATCCAGTTACCCTACACAACCGCGACAAACGAATCGCGAACTTAATAAATCACGTATACTGAATAGACAATTAACAATCGCTAAACAAACAGAGAAATCACCGTCTTGCTCCAGGACCATCGCAATTACCACCAATCAAGGATTACCGGATTCCCCATTATTCAAACCCAGACATCATCAATATCACACAATTACATCGGGTCACAATAATCCCAACAATAATACCTACTAATCCGAAACGACAACATTGTTCCTTCGTGCCTGGAACATGCTACGTAACCACTGCGGTGCGTTGAATGCGTCTTAACTAACCCCCGGAGGTCCCATGGTTGTTTCGTTCAATTTCACGAACAGACACCGGGATATAGTAACTTTACATGTCGCGTCTATCAGTCGCGCTCCGGATCGCTAAATAGAAATTCACCTGGCAGTGTTTTGCGGTTTCCCTAACGCTCGTCGGAACTGTTACCACGGGGCCCACAAGCCCCTCTCCCTTCCTCTTCCCTTGATTGTAATAGGTAAACCGCGCCCAGAGCAATTTTCCGCGACAATTACAGCGCGTCACGTTGGGCCGAAATCCCGACCAACGTCGTTTAATGGAAACTCACCTTGAGATCCTCGAACGGGGCCGTACCACATCCTTCTGTGGCCGGCGACAACAGCTCGGCTTTTCGGTCAGCGACATCGCCCGCAGAACTCTCGAACGACCTACCCGCGGACTCGTACTGAAAAGCAACTACGATCTAATAATAATCAGCTGAATATCCTCGGGTGACCCGTACTCTAAACACCACGGATAATCGATCGATACTTTTTCGATGTTCTTGTTGAGCTCCGCGATTTTCTCCATGATTTCGGCCACCTTCGTTTCCATTTTCTGCACCTGTGTATCAGGAATTTATATTCTCCCTGCAGGTTCGAATGTCTGTATATGGAGGGTGTTGATAAAAGTGTGGGACACTTGCAGGGTTGGATTCTACATAGGAAAATATGATGAAAATCAGAATAGGAAATTTCGTTTGAGACTTCGTTTTTGAGGTATTATTTTGAACGTACGGGTAGAATTAGCGTGAAATACGTTTGGCGCGATAGATGATAACTGAACTGCGGATTTTTTGCATTTATCACCATACACGATCATTTATAACTAGGTGTGTGTTAAAGAGTTTAATAAATCGTAATGAAGTTTCCATATCGTCTGGAATTCTGATAGAATCCTTAACAAGGTAAATCTCTATTTGACTTCAGTTTCGATAAATTATTTTATAATCTCTATTTGATCTCATGTCACTTGATTCCCATTTTCACCAATGAATAACTCTAAAAGAACGTACTTTTGTTACTTTCGATTTTCGTCTAAGTTTTGCATGTAGAATCCATCCTGTAAAAGTGTCTCACATTTTTATCAACACCATGTACATATATGTACGGGGTTCTGTATATTCAAACTTTAAGTTACTTCGTTGTTGAGATCCATTGTCGTCAATGCTTGCGCTTCTTTCTGGAAGATTTTCGTTGGTATTTTAGTTCCTTTTTTGAGGATGTCACGTGTATGTGATACTTTATGGACGAGCCAGTATAGCGGGATTTATATTATTATGTCTATACAGGGTGAGTCATTTAAATCGATCTCCGCGAATATCTTCGAAACCGTTGATGATACCAACAAATTTTCAGATAAGAATTAAATTGTCTCGAGGGGAAATAACGTGATGTGGGTAGTCTTTTCGACATATTTAGGTTAAATTTGTTTTTCTTTTTTAATGGAATCATGTATATTATTTAATTCATTAATTGATGCAGCTCGTCATTCCTTATAAGATCTCAGACCTATGGTTAGGAATTTCTCTTGTACACTAACTTCTTTGATCACGGTGTCTTGGTACTCCGTTTTCTTATTTTTCAACACTGCCACTTCTTCTCGTCGCTGGAACAATCGTTAGCCTCTATACAAATGTTCACATTAATAGAAGCTTTCTTGGATACTTAAGGATTAACGCACGCCTCTGTTTTCATCCAGAATCTTCTGCTTCTCCATGTTGAACTTCTCCAGTTTTCTGACTACCTGTGAGTTTTAATATGTAGGTCAAACAGCTCAACGTAATCTATGTTTAAAACTCTTTCTCTTTCAGAATGTTCTCATCACATTACGTAACGTTCAAAAATTCGTATTTCGGTATTTGAATACTATTACTGAATACAATTATTGAATACTATACTATACATTGAAAGCTCGAACGAAAAACTTTCACGTTATCCATGGTTTTTCGTAGACATAACATCTTATTATATAATTAAATGGATCTTAATTTCCATAATCTCAACTGGCAGCCTAACACGTACTGTATCAGCAGCTGTATTTCGAGCTTTACATTTGCTTTCTCGATGTACGACAAATTTTGTCGTACTAATTCCTATCTCTCTGAAGAGTTCGGCAGGTTTAGTGTTAATGTACACCAAACATGTATTGTCAAGACAATTTGAAGTATTCAATAGGGAAAAATATACAAATTTGTCGTTCAAGCCGACAAATTTTGTATTGGGAAAGGAACTGATCGTACTCACCGTGGTGGCGAACCACACGGCCACATAGAAAATTATGTGCATAAGCAATCCAATGTACACATTGTCCAGAATGTACTCCCGTATGAACGACTAAAAACCCAGAGAGAATAGGCAGTCACTGTTAATGGCATTAGAACTGATAAATGAATACGGTTTACATGAGGATCGTAAATGTCGAAGAGCTTCAGGATCTTGTAGGACCTCATCAATTGGGAGAAGTAGCTCTGATTGTACCAGAACATCTTCGTGGACGCGACTTATCGATCTTTGGGGGGATCAAGTAGAAACGGAGACATTGGTTGATTAGAAAAATATCAACGATTACGAGGAATATTAAAAATATCCAAGGAGAATGTATAAAAAAGACTGACGATCGTCGAGGCGATATCGGTTTCTCGAGCGTGAATGAATAATTGACTGCTGTAGAATCGAGTTCCGAATATTCCGATTTACCTGAACGTTGGCGAGTTAACGTGATTTCATTGTTTTCACGCGGTCACTTCGAGACTCGAAATCTGAAACTGATGACAGCGACGTGTCACGCTCGCTATAATTGTTTCGTTTGTGAATTTTCACGCAGTGTCTACGTATAACAGCTTCTGTCATTAGCATGAGAGGTGGCGCAATGGATACATAAAATTTTAGTATCGTTAATTGGTGTGAGTGCAGCGGATCGCGGCTTAAAAATGATAGATTAGATTATGAAATTTAATTGAGACCGTAAAGTAACGCGTCCAACCTGATGTGACTCACCTGGCTCGTAATAGCTGCCTATTAGACGATAGCGTGAACCGTTGGTGAGTCACGCTATTTGTTTTTGTCTATAATCTTTGCAAATTACAATTATGGACGACAGTAGTATTGTGAGTAAACGCCTTCGATAGTAGTATTATTTGAAAAAAAAATTTCTTAATATACTTGGTTATAGTGGGTAAGTCAAAGTTGAGGATGTAGAAATTTGAGAAAACTATTGTATCGAAATAAGTCCAGTTTGTTACTGTATAATTTATCATAAAGAAGAAAACGTTGAACTTTATTTACTTTTTATCGCAATAGACTTTGCTAAATTGTAGTTTGTAAAATGGCCCATTCATTTCCCAGTAACCACTTTCCTTTAACAATGAAATACAACGAGTTCCAAAATGATGGAACTAAACCTGACAGTTTGTAGTACCTAAAGTTTACTAACCACGACGGCTTTAATTTTTCCCCTACACGTCACAAAGTCGAGTTATTCACATACGAAATTATCCACCTAGTACAACTTTTCTGACATTATTTCTATTGTGTTTCACAGACAATAACAAAAATAACAACGAAATTAAATAAAATATAAATGTACAATGTAAAAGTGGGAATGTTTTCTACAGCTCCATATTTACAATTAAATTTAAAAATAATTCTTACGTATAGGGTAAAAACTAACGAAAAATGAGGTTACCATTGTATTCAACAATTCCACATCAAGTAAATAAAAACAGTTTCACTGGGTCGTTTTAGAATTCTCAAAATTTCGTTGAACAGTGTTATCAAAGTGCAAACTGGTTCGTAACAACACGATTCGCAATTCCGTTCGACATCGCGATCAGACGATTATCAATGTGTTATTATGTAAAACACGTCTACGCGAGCTCCGGAGTATGACTTAATTTTATGATCGTCGTGTTATCGATCTGTCTTCGTAATAACGACGGTCGACAGCGTCGCTGATAATGTCATCGATAACGAGGCACGGCTGCGAGATAGATAACGTGACGAAGACTAGAGAAAAAAAAACGAACGAAGAAACGACAGAAGGAGGGGAGCACGTGAAAAATGGCATGCATTGCGAATTATTATCATCGTTCGTTAACGGACACCAACGAGACGAGATACGTATAGAGCCGGGGGGCGATCTCATCGTGGCCCAGGCTCGTAAAGTAATTCGTCGGTGATTTACGGAGATGCTAATTGGCCCGCGGGCGTCCACGCTTTTAGCGGACCAACGGGGCTTTATAATTTTACGAGGTTCGATTTCGAAACCGCCGGCCGTCGGAATTATCGTTGGAATAGTGCTCGCGATATATCGCGCGTTAATAACGCCCCCCCCCCCACACCCTGCACGCATTACTCGCTGTTTTCCTGGTTAATAAAAGAAATATGTATACGAAACACCGCGGCCCCGCGGTTTAATGCGCATCTCGAAAATGAAAACTTATTCAAATTCGGTGCTTAACGTTGGACGCCTATTTCATTTGCCTTTCGCCGTTTTAATCGCGCGGGGGATGGAAAAGAATCGGATTATCAGCGGCACGAGTGGGTTTTGTATGGTGTACAATCGAGCTTTATTATTTTAATTTCGGTTGCCCAATCGAGAGGTACGTTCTCCTCGTGTTTTGTCGGGAAAATAGAATTTTCTGGTCTTTGTTTTGCCCCTTTTATTATTTCGAAGTGACAGGCAGGAATGAGGGTAGTTAAATTATTGGTCGGATGTTCCGTTAATTAGAGTAAATGGAATATTAAATTTATTAAGTATTGGAGTTTACGGTTTGATTAGAAGTACTACTAGTGAAAGTGTTGTTCTGGTAGGAATGACCAACGATTTCGTTAAAGTGCTACAACCCACGAAAAATTATAATTGAATGCAGTTACTTTATTTAGCATCAGGAAGAATTCAAAAAAATTGAGTTGACAGTCATCTATCAATGAGATCAGTTTGTTTTGTGATAAACTGGTGGAGTATAGTCTACACTTCTACAGTCTATTGTACAGTATAATCTGGTCACAGTTCTCGTGCCATTGGTTAGAAATGTTAATTTATTTAATATTGTTCATTCACTGGTGAAATCTGTATGTTTCCTTCTCAATCTAATTAATTACATTTTGCAAAATTTATTAAATTGAAATCTATACGCTATAAAAAGTTACGAATATTGAAAAATCTAATTTTCACCACCCAAATATTTACTAATATTATTATCATTTAAAATTCGATTGTAATAGTTACTAAATCCCTTAAGTGTTCATTCATTGATGCTTTCACCCTACTACATACGCAGCCCCTCGCCAAACGGTTAAAATCTAAAATCACCCCCATCAGAAGCTCGTCGTTCCACGGGCCAACCTCCAACAAAAACAAGCCCGTAATTCACCGGCAGAGACCCGCGGGCCCGTTAAAAAATTCAGTACGACGCAACAAATTCCCTCGTGTACAATCTGTCGCGTGCCCTGGGATCGCAAACAAGAATCGATCATCGACATCGCGTCGATCCCTGCGCGGCAACGAATCCTCGCCTAATCCCGACGAACCGTCGACTGCGAAACGAGCGAAATTTCGCGGAGAAAAACGACAACGAAATACAGAACAAAAAAAAAAGAAAAGAAATCACACGTTCCGTAGAAACAGAAAACAGAAAATTTAACAAACAATCCCACCGGACGCTGGCGGATCCTGTTTGCGCCGCAGGTTTGTCCAAACAATCCTCACTCGAACGTCTGGGTGGGGAGGGGGGGGGGCACGGTAAACCATATTAGAAATTAATCCCCGGGCGATCGCTCGCCCTTTCGCGGAGCCGATCGGCGTCAGCATTCGATTAAATAAACAGGAATTAGCACATGAAAGGCCCGGGACATAGTGCGGCGTGACTCGTCCAGGGGTTGGAGAGACATAGTTAAAGAGGGTGGGGGGTTTCGTCGGCCACTTGTCGTTTCCCATCGCGCCTCGCGGCCCCGGCTTGACTAACTAAATACGAAGTTAACCCCCACCCATCCACCGAAAATGGGCCCCGCGGGCAGGGTTAAACCAAGCTTAAAAACCGACATGCTAACGGCCGAATTCCGCGCGCAAACACGGACGACTCGACTGCGAAAACACTTGAGACCACTTAGAGGAATCTCTGGCGTGTCGCCCTTTTCGCGATTCCCGGCTACCCACACCCCCCGCGTCACCGACTCGATATTTATGTAAAACAGTAGCCGATATCGAGCGCGGTGAAACGAAGCCCGGGGATGGCATCCACTTGACGCGTCAGAAACGTCAGTTACACCGTGCGCAAAGAGGGGGTTGGAGTCTCTAGCTGGGGCGGCGCCTTTCGTCTCGCTCGAGGGGTCGGGCCGAAAGAGGAGTCGCGTGGCTGAAGACAGTTGGAATTTGAGTTTCTTCGAATGGGGAGCAACGGTGATGTTATTATTTCGAGGGACGGGGCGAGGGTGGCGAGTCGGGATAAATGATTCGAATTGGGGATGGATATGCGCGGCGAGTTAGTCAGGTTTGCGTTACGTTGATGGTTCGTCGTTACTTTGTAGGTTATCTGGTTGGTTTGTGATAAGTAGAATGCGAATTTTATGCATTTATAGCACGTACAGGGGATTCACAAATATGGGTCGATACTTCAAGAAGTACGTCTACACATAGATTTATATTTATATCTATAAGTAGGAAATGTCATATAAACATAGGATTAAATTTTGGGATATTCGAGGATCAGTTGGCAAGAATTGAATCAGAGTTAAATTTTTGGGTATGTCCTGTGTACCTTAGTTTTCAAAATAGATTTGAGTTTATTCGAAGAATACCTGGTATTTTTGAACGATTGTGGAACTCAATGCTACGGCATGCAATAACGAGTGTTGAGGTATGAAGCGGGCACTTCGAATATTTTCTTTAATCATCCACAACTCGAAAATTAAAGTATATAGGACATTGACCACTTGAAGTATTGACATGCATTTATGAATCATCCTGTATAGAACAGTGTGTAATACAAGAAAAGACAAAACCTTCGTCAGATGTAACAAGTTTGTCATTTTATTCCAAAGCTAGTTTGGGGAAGAGGAAAATTCCTACGTTTGCTTTTGTCTTTATGAATCACTTTGTACAATATAATTTTTCATAAAAATCCACAATCCAGTGATAAACTAATGTATGGGGTAATATTATAGATTTTGTAAATAATTATACCTATGGGGTAGGTGAGGTAACTTCGATAACTTCTCTTCGATAATCGCGTGTCTACAACCAATATTTCACAAATATCATTAGAAACCTGTATGCTTACCATCAAATATAAAACCTCCCCCTAAACTCGAAGTCGGACAGTTTGACTCCTTGCCTCGTTAGACAGAATCTAATTATCCACTTCTTTTACACAAAATTTCATCAAAACCAGTGCCTAATACGTGGATCTCTCCCAAGTGAAGCCTACATTCCACGCTCCACATTTCTATCAATTCTTTCATCCCAGAATTCAATACACGAGCCCTT